TCACGCAGAAGGAGAAGGCCACGAATCCGATGGAAAAATCAAGTGGAAGAGATAATGAAACCAAATAAAACTAAAAATAAGATCTGTTCGAACATATTTCGAACACCTTTACGCAAGCGATTTTGTGCAAAACATTTGCTAAATATATTATACGAAAATCTATGTTCGCCACATGAACACGACAAGAGCTCAATTTATGTGTAATATTTTGTACGGTTTTTTCAAAATTGTCTATATAGTTTCATACACCCTTCAAGTGAAAAATAAATGGCGCCCAATGTGGTAGGTATTTTTTTTATTACATCCTAGATTGAATTTCAATATTAATCACTATATAATCGTGGACATCTGCCAGTACCAATTTTCCCACATCTAATCTGTTCGATTTGGAGGAGTATGTCGCTTCCTATGACATTTTTGTAATTCTTCCAGTTGTAATTAACAACTTTGTTTTGCCCCTCAATTAGCTTGTCATTCCTCGGCTGTGTACGGTCACGACTTTAATTAATCAACTATTTGTGCAATTAATTAATAGTTGAAAGGAAATATATTATTTTTATTTTACAATCAAAACGATTAGCGGATGACAAATTGTTAATTTGTGATGATTTTGCACTTTGCAATGAAGATATTAATTATTTTTCAAGCTGGATTTCTTTATTTATTTGTGGTATTTTCCACAAATTAAAACACTTTGGAAAAAATGGCGCCCAACGTAAATGTTGGAAATTTAATTTTTTGGCTTGGTGTTTTGTCGCGATATTTTTAAGGAGAATTTACTAAACATAACGAACTATATATTTTTGTGTGTATCTCAGCAGCTACTGTTAAATACTAGGCAATTAAATTGCCGATCTTCTACAAATATTAAAAAAATTAAATAAATAAAATAAATATTAATGGATTTGCAATTGTTGTTGTTGTTTCCTCGTTTTGGCACTTTGCTAATTTCAAGTAAATATTTTGTTTTCCCCAAACAAAAAATTATTCCACAAAGCAACAACAAAAATACCAACAGTAATCGCCACCAAACTTCGTACACAAAATTAAAAAAAAAGTTTTCTATTTCTCCACTTCAGTCATTATTAACAAATAAAAATTAAAAAAAAATAATAACTAATAATAAATAAACTAAAACACCAAAAACGTTTCAGCAGCGATAGCAACAAACACAAAACCAAAGAAAAAAATCAGCTGCTACTCCAAAAAAAAAAAAAAAAAAAAAAGACGCTGGCAAAAAAATTATAAAAAAAAAATCAACAACAGCAAAAAAATTCAAATGATGTCATCGACACTTTGAACTGGAAAGAAACGGTGAGCAAACGTCGTATGCTTGTGTATATATGTATGTAGCTAAAAAACCGATCCAGCTCTTACCAACAATAACAGCAACAACAACACCAACTATTAATCAATAGCACCTTTACCGGCAGCAGCAGCCAGTGCAAATTTATAGCCAGCCGGCAAATGCGAATATTTTTGCAAATATTTTTTTGACTTTATGACAGAACTGTAGATATGTCGGATGATTTACATACATAGCCGGTGTATTGGAGAAGTTCCCCAGTTGGACATATGATTTTTGGATAGACCGAACCCTAAAGAGACGTGTGCGTAAATTTTACGGCTAGCAGATTTGAATTTTTATATTGTGAGAAAATCTCTGCAAGAACTTACACCGGAACAGAAAGAAAATAAACTCAAAAGATCTAAAGAGTTGCTTCGCTTGGTCGAAAGTGGTGAACTGCCGAATTTGGTTTTCTCCGATGTGAAAACATTCGTTGTCGAGCCGGTGTATTTTAAAGCTTGGGCACGCAAACATTTTGGCCGCATATATTGGACATTCCAACAGGACTCAGCAAAGTCTCCGGATACCAATCTGTAGGTCTATTGTGTTTGGAGTATCCCTAGGGATACGTAGTCGATGGCAAAAGTCGACTTTTATACCTTTCGGCTTTTGCCTTTTACTAAAAAGTCGACTTTTCGAACTTTCGATTTTTTCAAACCTGTCCAATATCGATTTTCAACTTTTAGCGACCGATGCAAAATCGGCTAAAAGATTGATTTTTTATATGAATTATTGTCACCAGATAAAATATAGTTTTGGAATGTGTAATTTTTGAGCAAATAGCGCTTTGTGAGAATAATAAAACAAGTATTTATGAAGAAAATCGAAAGTCGATCTTGAAAATCAACAAATAATTAAATTTTTTATATGGACTTTTCCAAGATCTATTAATAAGGTCACCAATATAGCAATCGAAATCGGAAAACAGCTGTTTTTTCTCAAGTCGAATGTCAAAAATTTCGACTTTGTTTACGTTTTCATAATGGAAGTCAATTCACAATAATGCATTTCGATTATCAGCTGGTCTCCCTTGGTGACCTTATTTATAGGCCATGGACTTTTCAATACAAAAAAGTCGATTTACTTATCCCTATAATACACGTTAGATTTTGCTAACCCACATAAAGCGCGTATGGCCGGTTTAACATCCTGATGGAAAAGGTCTCCTACGCCGACGGCATCGACATAATGGGTCGAACATTGCGGGCGGTAACAGCCACCTTTGAACGATTTGAGAATGTGTCTGTCAAAGTGGGACTGGCAATGGCGAAAAGACAAAGCTGATGGTATCAACGCGCAATACGTCTAGTAGACTTGGACCAATTGTGGAACTTGAAAACTACAGCTTCGAGGTAGTGAAAGATTTTATATACCTCAGTACCGCCATAAACAAAACTAATAACATCAGCTTTGAAATCCGGAGGAGAATAGTGTTTGGCAACAGATGCCACTATGGTCTTAGTAAGTAACTCTAAAGCAAGGCCACTTTTCGAAAGACCAAACGCACAATCTACAAGACGCTGATATTATCCGTGCTGTTGTATGGATCTGAAGCATGGATACTCGCGCAAACAGATGAGGCAGCTCATGGAGGGTTTGAGAGAAAATTTCTCCGAAAGATCTATGGGCCGATGATCTGCGACGACGGTGAATAACGCCGTCGAATGAACCATGAGTTGTACCATATATTCTCGGACATCGACATAGTCAGTCGGATAGATAATGGATGGAGATGTCCCAGCTCATAAGGCATATAAAAGCGAGCAAAGTGATGGTTCACACAGAAGGAAAATGCCACGAATCCGATGGAAATATCAAGTAGAAGAGAACATGTCGGAAAATCGTCTTTCAAATTGGATGAGATGCGCACAAGACCGACTTTCACTTAATTTTTCCTTCTACTATTGATTCTGGGGTATCTTCTCCACCGCCAATATTTCATACCAAAAGCTTTTCAAAATGCTCCTAATTCTGATCCCCAGAATTACCAGCCGACAAATCATGAACATATTGCGAGATAGGGCTCATTCATTTGCCGAAGCAAACTGGACTCCGCTGACAAAGATCGAGAACGATATAAGGAATCAGGAAAACTATGGATAATTCGGCCTCGAAACCTCAATGACCTAGCAGATGCGAAAAATATGAAAATATCCTATACAAAGACAACGGTCTGTTTATCACATAGACAGGTCAATGGACCCATAATTCCAACCGCAAATGTTCTTGATGTCACATTATTTGTATGTCTTCCGCACCTGCGATAAGGTCAGGAACAGGAATAAGGTCTCAAGACCTTAGCCTGCAGTACTTGGAGAGCGGATAATTAAATCTTCATAATAATTTATGCAGCTATCTGGGGGCTCAGAGGCGCAAACTGACCACGATGAAACGAACACAAATTCCGAGTTGGGTAACTAAAGCTAGACCAACACAAAAGTCATAGAATGCCAGAGGATGCTCATAAGATGACGGAAGAACTCAACAAGGATTGACAATATCCTTGTTGAGCTCACGACAAGAAAGAAGGAACTATCTGGGTCTCAAAGGTGAAAACAAACCATGATGAAACGGAGAAACGACCAACCGATGATAGACCAACCGTCACCGCCGGTGGAAGCTCATAAGATGGTGGAGCAAGTAAGCAAGGACATTATCAAACTCACGAAAAGAAAGACCCGACTATCTGTTCAGGATTAACAAGAGAAATACATCAGACGGATGTTCATAAGAATTCGCCTGACCTTCATTCAACTTTCTCGGAGAAGACAATTAGGTTAAAAAATCCGCTAAGACAAAAACTAGCTACCAATTCTACGCTACCAAGAGAACGCTGAATCAAAGTTAAAGGAGACTGTCACGAGAATCTATGGACTTAGGGTGGCAAAGGTGGCTCTAATATCCACAAGACAGATGCATCCTGGAAATGCAGATCGCATAGCATATCAACGTCCATAAGAATAAGCCTGACCTTCCCTCCACTTTCTCGGAAGCGGAGAAAAGATTTGGTCTCCAGAAGAGAATATCAAATCCGCAAAGCTAAAAAGAGAAAGCTAAACGAACCCAATGTTAAAGGAGAATCTATCGACTGAGAGCGGCAAAGGTGGGTCTAGTATCCACACGACGGACGCATACTGGGGAATTCAGAGCGCATACCCTATCAATCTGCCATGCTGCGAGGACTACTAAATGCTATAGTTCAGTTCAGAAATTTAGCAACCAGAATGGAAGCTCTAGATAGCTTTTACATTTAGATATCTTTTACATTCTTAGCTGGCTTGTGAAAGAACGTTTGTCCCATAAGACGAGCTTAAAAAAGATTTCCAGGCTCGGTCGGTCTTGCGTGAAGCTCTTCCAATTCGAAAGACCGTCTTCCGAAATGTACTCTTCCACTTGATAATTCCATCTAATTCGTGGCCCTTCCCTTCTGCGTGAGCGATCAATTGGCTCGCGTTTATATGCCTCGCTGCAGCTCAATACGTCTCACAATGCCAATGTCCGAGAATAGATGGTACAACTCATGGTTCATTCCATGACAATTTTGTTTATAAACAATAATAAGCTCGTTCTCTGCGTTCTCTATTTATAAGTTATTTCATTTACTCTTTAAACAGCTCTAGTCTAAGACACAAAATTCTCTCCACACACTTACCTTTTCTGTGGGAAATCCACATAATTCTTCGACGTAGCTACTGATCTCTCACTTCGTCGGCGCTCCTGACTAACAACATCCCGGTCATTGCATTCCATTTCTGAACCATTTTCACTATCATCCTCAATAAAGGGTGGCTCAAAAGTTTCATAGTTTTGCATCGACTGCAAATCCGAAGCATTGGCTGTCAAGGGGATTTGCAATTCCTCCAGGGGTATGTGACACCGCGATTGTGACAAATGACCAAGAGATGATGATGGTGTTACTGAGGGAGCAGGTGGTGTTAGGGGTTGACGTTTTTTACGGCTCCTCAATTTTGGTAATGGTGGGGGTGGCCTAGTTGGTGTTGTTTGTGTTGTACAACTTCGAGAGCATAAGGAGGAGGATTTCTTACTCCTATTGCTGGGTCTGGGTTGCAGATAATAGGAGGGATTAGTTTTCAATTTTGGATTATGACCAGCCTCACTATCCGAGCTGGATGGTGAAATGTTAATCATATAACGATTGCCGATAACAGAATATGATGAGTTGTCATCATCATTACGATGTTGAAAGTTTTTGTTTGTTTGTCTTTTCTGTTGTTGCTCTTGCCAATTTTCTTGTTGTTGCACCTTTTTATCTTCAATTTGTCGATCTTCATCTCCAATGTTAACTTCATTCATTAAATGTTTATTTGATTTGTTTATTTTTGTGTACTCTGCTCTCTGGGTTATTCTCTCTGAGGTTTCTCTCTCTTCTATTGTTGAAGTTGAGTCAGCAATTTTCTTTTGAGAGTTATTGCTGCTCCCCCTGTGTTGTTGTTGTTGCCGATGATGATGTTGTTTACCAATACCATTACCATTGCTATGACTATTATTCGTGTGGTAGTTGGTGTTGTTGTTGTTGCTATTGTCAACAACATTGATTCTCCTCGTTTGATTTCGTCGTATTGACTGGTGTTTACTGTTACTCTGACGAAGAGTGTTGGTGGTATTGTTGCTCTTTATATGGTTGCTATTGTTATTGTTGTTGTTATTAGTATTATTGTTATTGTTGGGGCTGTCGTCATCATCATTATTATTAACGTGATTGTTGTGTTTGTTCATGTTGCCGGCATCGCCGTCGTTTTCTTTACAAACAACAGCTTTGGTTTTATGTCGTATGGCAGTTGGTGTTATTGTTGGCGCTGCTGCTGCTGCTACTACTGCTACCGTTGTTGCTGTTCGTGTTTCTTCATGTCGTCGTTGCTCGTTTTGCTGGCGCTGCGTTTTAGTTGTTGTCGCGGCTTTCAACGGTTTACACGTCGAAATATTATTATCGTCCAAGTTAGAATAACCATTGAATAATTCAGCTGTTTGAAAAATTAAGAACGAAATAAAAATAAAATAAAGTAATGAAATGAAGTTGATTTAAATTTAATATTAAATGAAATAATGTGAATAAAACAAAATAAAAAACGAAAAAAAAACATTTTAATGAACTAAAATAAAAAAAAAAAAAAAATTAAATGAAGTGTAGGAAAAAATTTAATGAGATTTATTATTAATAAAAAAACTTGTTTTTAAACAATAAAAAAATAAACAAAAATTAATGTGAACTTTTAAAAAATATATATAATTTTTTAATACGATTTATTATTAACTATATATAATTTTTTAATACATAAACAACTAAAGTGAATTAAAAAAATAATTATTGATATTAACAAAATCTACTTACAAAAAAAATGTGTATTTAAAAAAATCACAGAAAAAATATTTTAATGACAGTTTTTTTCAATATTTTCAAGTGCTTTTCTTTATAGAAAAAAATTTGAAATAATTAAATGATTTTCCTTGGGAATTTTTATGGCTTTTTAAAATAAATCTCCCAAATATTTAATCAACCGCGCCACCTTTTTAAATAATTAATAAAAAATCATAATTATTTTATCACTGATCTAGGTTGCAATTTTTTCGAAATTGAATTCTGGTAAAAATTTGCCCCAAAATGTAGCTTTGTTAAAAAAGTATTTTAAAATTTGATACGTTTTTTCCACAAAAACTCTTTCAAGGCCTATAGAAGGCGTGGATTTTTTAAAGACTAATTTTTCAAAGGCTAACCAAGACGTGGATTTTTTTAATATTTTTTTTTTCAAGGCCTATACAAGGCGTTTGTTTGTTGTGTTAGCTGGCTTGTGATAGAACTTTCGTTCCATAAGCTGAGCTTTAAAAAAGATTGCCAGGCCGCATTGGTATGGTCCAATAATGTCATTGACCATTGGCTTCAGTCGTTCACACAGCACGCTGAATAGCACTTCATATGCGATGGTTAGAAGACTTATTCCTCAATAGTTGGCACATATCGTCTTGTCTCCGTTATTTGTACACGGGACAAAGGATGCTGAGGTTCCAATCATTGGGCATGCATTCTTCTAACCAAATTGTACTTATCCGCTAGTGCATGCTCCTTACCAGCATCTGACCATCAGTCTTGAATAGTTCGGCTTGTAACCCATCGGCACCTGCTGCTTTATTATTCTTCAGCCGATTGATTGATATTCTGACTTCATTTTGGCTAGGTGGTATACACCCTATACCGTCATCTAGTATTGGTTCTGGGGTATCCTCTTCACCGCTACTATTTGATACCAGAAGTTCTTCAAAATGCTCCTTCTGTATCTGTCACCAGGCGTGGATTTTTTAAATATTTTTTTTTCAAGGTCTACCCAAGGCGTGGATTTTTTAAAGACTAATTTTTCATGGTCTATACAAGGCGTGGATTTTATAAAGACTAATTTTTCAAGTCCTACCCAAGGCGTGGATTTTTTAAAGACTAATTTTTCAAAGGCTACCCAAGGCGTGGATTTTTTAAAGACTAATTTTTCAAAGGCTACCCAAGGCGTGGATTTTTTAAAGACTAATTTTTCAAAGGCCAAACAAGGCGTGGATTTTTTAAAGACTAATTTTTCAAAGGCCAAACAAGGCGTGGATTTTTTAAAGACTAATATTTCAAGTCCTACCCAAGGCGTGGATTTTTTAAAGACTAATTTTTCAAAGGCTACCCAAGGCGTGGATTTTTTAAAGACTAATTTTTCAAGTCCTACCCAAGGCGTAGATTTTTTAAAGACTATTTTTTGGCTCTTGGGCAAATTTTTGGATACTAAACAGATCCAAAAAATCTTTATCCATCATTATCATGATCAAGTTGATCGTAGTTATCTCCCCCCCACGCCAATTGTCGTCATGGCTTATGACAATCATCACGCTTATCCACAGCAAACATCATTGTTGCGATCGTCCGCCTTTCATCCAGATGTGGATGATGGTGGTGATGGCCAGACAGCAAACCACGACGATGAAAGACAGACAGACATCCAACAGCCAGCCAGCCAGCCAGCCGGCGTGTGTGCTACTTTTTCGCCAGCTTTTCTTTATTCTATTTGAAAATGTATAGACATTTCGTCTTTTTTTCCACAATTATACTTTTTTTCAGTTGTTGATGTTGTTTCTTGCTTATTTTTGTTATTGTTGTTGTTATTATTATTCTTATTAAATTATCTGTTATTTTATTTTTTTGAGGTTAATTTCATTTCTGCACTGCACGACAAAGCAATGTCAGAACATTTTAATTTCATTGAAAATAATCATTGGAATGGATTATTTGTTGTTTCTGTTTCTTCCCTCTCACTCGATTCTAATTCATCCGACAATTGTCATCGAAAAAAAGAAATAATTCTGAAGACATAAAAATAAATAGAAAAAAGATTACAATGCCGTATATTAACTTAATGCGGGACAGATGCAAAATCCATATGTAAACAATATTGATAATTACAGTAATAAAAAATTAAAAAAAAACAACAACAATAAAATATATAATTTATTGGTGAATTGTAAAATGACAATTTTTAATGGACCTAATTCGTGGCATGGCTACTGGGCTATGCCATCATTAGGGGTATGCCACAAATAATAAAAATACAAAGTTTTAACATCAGGAGACCCATAGCGAAATTTAATCAAGAATATTTTCGCACTGATATCAACCCCAAAAAAATTTCGGCAAATATTAAAAAATTCAAAGCCTACCCTAGGCGTTAATTTTTGAATTTTCAATATTTTTTCTATCAATGATTACTATGACAATATTTTCGCCATTGATATCAACCCCAAAAAATTTTCGTATTTTAGTAGATTTAAAAAACTCAAAGTCTACTTTTGGAATTTTCAATATTTTTTCTCACAATGATTACAATCACCTGCATACTAAAGTCGTTAACTCTTCAATTTTTCATTCTAAAGTTTTTATTATTTTTTCCCCCCATATTGAGGGCTACATAGGTATGTCAGTCAGACAGCCGTGTCCGGTCTAATTGGTTAATAAAATTTGTTGTTGTATTTTTATCTTTAAGTGCAAGCTCGTTTGTCTATAGAATTTGTCGATATTGTGTATAGAAATTCCAATGGTTGGGTTGAATTTTTTTTTCATTTGTTGCTGGACAATTGCATTTTGAAAGTCAAGGTGAGATAACGTCATTTTTTATTGTTCAATCTATTTTAGTACACACTCTTTATCAATCTATAAAGCAAACAACATTTAGTATTTTGGGGCTTTAAAAAAAAAAAAAAAATTTGAAAAAAATATTCTTTAAAAAATCCACGCCTTGTCTGGCCTTTGGAAAATTAGTCTTTAAGTAGAAAAATATTCATTAAAAAATTTATTGTAATTGAAACTCGATAGACCAATGGTTCCTTTTGATAATATGCATAGAAAAACTTTCTGAGTCGATTTATGCATGTCCGTCCGTCTGTTGGTGTTAAATTGTAAACAAAGTACAGGTAATCCGATTTGGATGAAATTTGGTACAGCTCAGCTGTTTGGCCCAAGGACGAACCCTATTGAAATTGGGAAAAAATCGGTTCAGATTTAGATATAGCTCCCATATATATTTTCGTCCGATTTATGGTAAATGGTGCACCAAAGTACCTATATATCTTTCGATTTGCACGAAATTTTGCATAGCGTACGGAATTAAGTCCAGAGTGATGTGTGCTAGGTTTCGTGAAAATCGGTTCAGATTTAGATATAGCTCCCATATATATTTTCGTCCAATTTAAGGTAAATGGTGCACCAAAGTACCTATATATATTTCGATTCGCACGAAATTTTGCATAACGTACTAATTGCGCCAGGAGTGATGTGTGCCAAGTTTCATGAAAATCGGTTCTGATTTACATATAGCTCCCATATATATTTTCGTCCGATTTTCTACATTGAGACAAAATTTTTGCATAGCGTACTAAATTAGGTCCTGATTGATATATGTAAAGTTTTGTTGAAATCGTTTCAGATTTAGATATAGCTCCCATATATAGTTTCGTCCGATGGTGCACCAAACTTCCAATATTATTCAGATTGAAGCAAAATTTTGCAGAGCGTATTAAAATAGGTCCACATTGATGTATATGAAGTTTTGGGAAAATCGGTTTAGATTTGGATATAGCTCGTCTATACCAATTTTTAGGTAAATGGTACACCAAACGGATTATCCGATTAATACAAAATTTGGCACAGCATATTGAGATAGGTCCATATTAATGTAAACGACGTTTTGTGAAAATCGTTTCAGATTTAGATAGAGCTCCCATATATAGTTTCGTGCGATTTTTGGTAAATGGTGCACCGACGAGCCTACGTCTGTCCCATATATACGAGACTAGGTCCAGATTTGCATATAGCTCCACATACATTATTTTCCTCTATTTCATACAAATGTTACACAAAAGAATCCGATTGACATACAATTTTTCATAGATTTCAGATTGATTGGTCCAAATATCTATATAGATCACACATTTAGTTTCACCCCATTCCATTTCAATGGTCCTCCAAAGATTATATGTCTGTTCTATCTACAGGATATTGTATATATTAGCATATCTTGTATGTATTCAAAGTGTTGAAGGGTATCATATAGTCGGCTCCGTACGACTTTTGACCTTTCCTTACTGGTTTAAAAATATTTTTATCGAATATTTTTGGATTTTTAAAGCTATTTTTTATGGAATATTTTTGGATTTTTAAAAATATTTTCCATCGAATATTCAATTTTTGAAAAAAATTTTTCATTGAATATTTATAAATTAACGAAATTCCCCTCTTCAATGTTATCATATTTTGCCATTTATCTTTCCATTTTTAATTTATTTAAAAAAAATTAAATTAAAGTTTTCCTCTCCCAAAATAATTCTCTCTTCAAGGTTATAATTTCGCAATGACCTTTTGCAGTTTACAGCTGTAATTTGTTGGTGTTGTTGTTTTAGTCTATTTTTTTATTCTTGTTAATTTCCCAAGGGATTTGCTCGTGAATATCCACAGATGACTTTACGTCTTACCTTTATGGGAAATATAGAAAAAAAAACAAAAATAATTGTTGATATAACGGAAGCACAGAGGAAGAACACTCCTTTGACTATTACAATAATAAAATGCACACACAGACAATTTCACGCGCCCTCACACTCTATCTCTTACATCTCTCACCGTTATGCACACACAACAACAGTGTAAGGCGGCTTGTTTTCTTTTATCTCTACTTTTTAGGAAGAAGAGGGGTTCTCCTCTCTTTATTGTGGGGTGACAAATATCAGTTTATTACGCGTTTTTCCAGACGAAATACAAAAAACCATAACCTTGTTAAGAACAGAAAACAACAAAAACTATAACATAAAAATAAGAAACAACAATAACAACTAAACAGTGAATGAAATGAAATGTAAATTGCATAAAAGCGGTTAACCACAAACACTCCGAGAGATAGAGGGAATATAAAGGGAGAGAGAGAGAGAGATGAGCCACAGCCATCATGAGAGACATAACTGCACCCAATTTAACACCCCCTTTGACATTAATTTGGGGTTTGCATGCATGCATACACACATGCATGCAAACTATCAACAACCAACTGTAATGTGAAGAGGCTCAGACTCTGTTAAGCAGAGAGAGAAAGCAAGTGTGTGTGCGTGTGTAATGTGGACAATAGAGCGCCATAATGTAAACATGACCTTACTAACAATTATTGTTATTATTGTAATTCTCCCCTGTCTCAGGGTTACAGAGATTGGGTGGCGCAGCGTTGCCCATGGGAGGGATTTTTATTGTTGTTGTTTTTGTTATTGTGTATGGGGATTGTTGTTTTTTGTGTTAACAAAGAGTGCGGTTACATTTTGTGGTTGTGGTTATACGATTGTTGGTGGTATTTTTGCTCGGTTTTGCTCGTTTCAAGACTCTCTGTTTACTTACCATGGAAGCCGCTGTTGTTGTTGTTATTATTATTCGTGTTGTTGTTGCTGTTGTTAATATAATGGTTTGGTTCCCCCAAACACTTGTTGTTGCCGCTGTTGTGGTTGTCGGCGGCATTCAGTTGTTTTTCGGCATCCATTGCGTTAAATACTTTGTTTTGAAAAGCCTCAACAATTGCCTCAGTATCCAAGGGATTTTCATTGGTGTTCTGAAAAAAAACACGAAACGAAAGAAAAACTTGTCATTAAAATATTTTTTTTTTCAATTAAAAAATTGAAATTTTTGAAAAGAATTTTTTCATTTAATAAAATTTTCTATTCCATATTAGATGTACAGAAATTAATGAATTTTGAAAAAAATTGTGTTAGCGAATTAATAAAGAAGAGAAATTTGTGAGATTTATTAAAAAAAAGAAAACTATAAAAACGCAATTTGTGGCGAATTGAAAAAAAAAATAAAATAAAAGAAGAATTGCAATAATTTTTTTGCAAATCAAAGCCCAACAAATCCGTGCAGCAGAGGATACCCATCGCCATCAAAAGGATATATTTTTTGTGAGCAGAGTAGCACTAATTAACCAAGAAAAATGGTGAGTAAAAATTGAAATTTTTTTAGTAATATTTTAAAATTTTAAGAAAAATCGCAGATATGTGTGAAAATACCATTAACAATAAAAATTAATTATATTTTGATTTAGTGGCGTATGATTGTTTTCAGCACGTATACATTATGAATTGAATTATTTGGAGGCTTTTTGAATACATATTTTATTCTTAAATTGGTATGGTATTGCTGTTCAGATTTTCAATACGTAATGTAAAAAATAGGCATTTTAAGCTTTGAAGGTTATGTGAGGGATTGACGTTTTTTCAAATTACAAATTTTTTGCATTTTAAAAATTGGTTTTACTGAAAAATTAGAGCTTCTTTTTGAAGAAACCCTGTAAGGAAAGTTCAAATATCGGACGGGGCTCCGACCATATGATATCCTTCACCACTTTGGGAACATACAAAGATGTTAATATTGTAGATCCTGTAGATGGAATAGACATAGAATCTTAGGAAGACCATTGAGATGCAATCGGGCGAAATTAAATAAGCTATCTAGATAGATATTTGAAACTATTGCACAAAACCCAAACACATACCATTCTGTAATCAATGAAAAATTGTATGTCAAACGGGCAAACAAATATTGGAAGTTTGGTGTATCATCCCAAAAAATCGGAAGAAACTATATATGGGAGCTTTATCTAAATCTGAACCGATTTTAACAAAACTTCGCAGACATCAATCTGTGCAAAATGTTATCTCAATCGGACAAATATTCACATAAAATCGATGAAACTATATATGGGAGCTATATCTAAATCTAAACCGATTCCAACAAAACTTCGCATACATAAGAATGGACCTGATTCAGTGCGCTATGCAAAATTTTGTCACAATCGGACAAATATTTGGAGTTTGGTGCACCATTTACGTAAAATCGGACGAAACTATATGTGAGAGCTATATCCAAATCTGAACCGATTTTAACAAAACTTCGCAGACATCAATCTGAACCTAATTCAAAAGTCTGAGCAAAATTTTGTCTCAATCGGACAAATATAGGGAGTTTGGTGTATGGGAGCTATATTTAAATCTAAACCGATTCCAACAAAACTTCGCATACATAAGAATGAACTTGATTCAGTGCGCTATGCAAAATTTTGTCACAATCGGACAAATATTGGGAGTTTGGTGCATCATTTACATAAAATCGGACGAAACTATATATGGGAGCTATATCTAAATCTGAACCGATTTTAACAAAACTTCGCAGACGTTAGTCTGGACCTAATTCAGTACTCTGTGCTAAATTTTGTCCCTATCGAATAAATATTGGGAGCTTGGTGCATCATTCACATAAAATCGGATGAAACTATATATGGGAGCTATACCTAAATCTGAACCGATTTTAACAATACTTCGCATACATAAGTATGGACCTAATTCAGTACTCTGTGCAAAATGTTGTCTCAATCGGACAAATATTGGGAGTTTGAGGCATCATTTAAATAAAATCGGATGAAACTATATATATATATATATGTATATATCAGAACCCATTTTCTCCAATAACAATTGGCAGATCTTTTAGGGCAACTATGAAATTATCTCATTGATTTATTCTTAAATGAATATAAATAATAATTTGTATTTTAAAATTAATATTTTTTTAATACCCTCACTTGTGCGTGTGTGTATTCAATTTGTTTTTTTTTTCTAAACTTGTGTCTGTGTGTTTGGCGGTCACAATGTCTGCTCTGCCTCTGTGGTCTTGTGTTGTCTGGTTGTCTTAACCATTTAAGGTTGAAATTATGTGTTGTGTCGGTGTGTGTGTGTGTGTGTGTTCGTTTCGTTTTCTATTGACATTTGGAAAAGAAAAAAAAAAACAACTACAACCACAACAAAATAAAACAAGTTATTTAATTTCTATTTGAAATGACAACAACAACACCAGAAAACAAAATCATGTGTTGTCAGAAATATTCATGTGGGCGTATGAGTATTTAAAACTTCATTTGGAGCCAAAAACAACACACACAGAAAAATTACTCATACGTTTTGTTGTTGCTGATGTCGTTGTGTTATCTTTATCTCATCTCAAAAATTGTAGTGATTTTTTACATTTATTTATTGAAATCAAACGAATTAAAAAAAAAAAAACAAAATATTTACATAATTAGTTGCTATTAGGCATTAATGTCTCAATTTGTACGAAATAATCACAAGGTTGAAAAGTAGATTTAAAAAGTAATTTAAAAAAAATATGTTACTTTTTATGTTAAAAAATATATTTATAGTCCAAAACAAGCCATAGATTTTTTAAAAATATTTTTTAAGGTCCATGACAAGGCGTAGTTGTTTTCTAAAATATTTTTTAAGGCCCAAAACAGATTAAGGTACAAGACAAGGCGTAGATTTTTTAACGATTTAAATAAGGAGTAGATTTTTTAAGGACTAAAACAACGCGTAAATTTTAAACGACTAAAACAAGGCGTAGATTTTATAATTTTTTTTTTTCATGTGTCCTACAAAGGCGTAGATTTTAAAATTACTAAAACAAGGCGTAGATTTTTTAAGGATTTAAATGAGGAGTAGATTTTTTAAGGACTAAACGGTGCGTAAATTTTAAAGGACTAAAACAAGGCGTAGATTTTATAATTTTTGTTTTCATGTGTCCTACAAAGGCGTAGATTTTTTTCATGGGTCCTACAAAGGCGTAGATTTTTATTTTTTTATGGCTCCTACAAAGGCATTGATTTTATAAAAATATTTTTTTCAAGGTTCTTCTAAAAACTTAAAATTTTATACTCTTTACCACACTGTGGTACAGGGTATTATGTCTTTGTGCATATGTTTGTAACAGGCAAAAGGAAACGAGATAGACTGATGTTTCCTTTTGAGAATATGCTTAGAATTCTGACGCACAACATTCTGAGTCGATTTACGCATGTTCGTCTGTCCGTCCATGTATTTTTGTGAACAAACTACCGGCCGCATTTATGATCCGATTTGGATGAAATTTGGCATAGGTAATTTATTTGACCCAAGGACAAACCTATTAAAATTGGGAAAAATCGCTTCAGATTTAGATATAACTCCCATATATATGTTCTCCGATTTTATGTAAATGATGCACCAAAGTCCCTATATAACCCTGGATTTGCACGAAATTTTGCACAGCGTACTGAATCAAGGGTTGAATGATGTGTGTTAAAGTTGAATGATGTGTGTGAAAATCGGTTCAGAATTAGATATAGCTCCCATGTATATTTTCATCCGATTTTAGGTAAATAGTGCACCTTTATATCCTTCGATTTACACGAAATTTGGCATAGCGTAATGAATTGAGTGTAGAATGATGAGTTATAAGATTCGGGAAAAACGGTTCAGATTTCGATATAGCTCACATATATATTTTCCTCCGATTTTTTGTAAATGGTGCACCAAAGTCCCTATATATCTCTGGATTTGCACAAATTTTGGCACAGCGTAATGAATTAGGTGTAGAATGATGTGTGTTAAGTTTCCTGAAAATCGGTTCAGATTTAGATATAGCTCCCATATATATTTTCGTCCGATTTTATGTAAATGATGCACCAAACTCCCAATATTTGTCCGATTGAGACAATATTTTGTACAGCGTACTGTTCAGACTGATGTCTGCGAAGTTTTGTTAAAATCGCATCAGATTTGGATATAGATCCCATATATAGTTTCGTCCGATTTTTGGTGAATGATAAACCAAACTCCCAATCTTTGTCCGATCGAGGCAAAATTTTGCCCAGACTTTTGAATTAGGTTTAGATTGATGTCTGCAAAGTTTCGTGAAAATCGATCCAGATTTAGATATAGCTCCCGTATATGTTTTCGTCCGATTTTATGTAAATGGTCTACCAATGTCCCTATATATCATTCGATTTGCACGAAATTAGACATAGCGTACTGAATTAAGTCTAGAATGATGTGTGCAAAGTTTCGTGAAAATCGGTTCAGATTTATATATAGCTCCCATATATATTTTCGTCCGATTTTATGTAAATGTAAAGTCCCTATATATCTTTCGATTTGCACGAAATTTGGCGTACCGTACTGAAATAGGTCTAGAATGATGTGTGTTAAGTTTCGTGGAAATCGGTTCAGATCGATATAGCTCCCACATATTCATATGTATTCGTTCGATTTTACATTTAATCCGATTTTTGTTTAATGCCAAATTTTCCCAACCCGTAGTTTTTTTATTTCATTTGTTTTCCTCGACCGAAATTCACAAAACTTCGGATTAATTTTAAATATTGTCAATGTCTATCTCAGCTGGTGGATGGTATATAAAATTCGACCCAGACGTTTTTTCCCTTGTGGAATTTTATTTTCAATGATTTTCAAATGTATTTTTTGTGAAGAGAAAGGGAGCAAAGAGAGCAGTTTAGAAAGAGTTTTGCGTCCCAGACAATTCTCAAACCAGTTACCCCGTCAATGTTCAATGTTTGACAGACGGAGAGAGATTATCATTAAATAATCATTACTTAAATTGTCAACAAATTGGAATCAAAAAAAAAAAAAAAAAAAACAAACAGAAAAAAATCCGTACAGAGGTGTAGTAATAAATAAAGCTTCATTAAAAAAAACAGGTCGATATAAAAAATAAATAATCGGCAAT